TCACCCTCCTCACCACACGTCTTCGTCCCCCCGCCCCTCGCCCCCACCAGCCCCAATCCACCCACCCCCCCTCACCCCCCACCCCTGCCCCCCCCCATCCCAACTCGAGTTATTAAGCCCGTAAGGGTGTCTTTACACGTAGTGCCCTAAATACCGTCTGTTTGGGAGTCATTTAGCCAACGGCTTGTACATGGGTTGATTAGAAACGCTTAAGGATCAGGACATTGCATCAGTCATTTAAAAAAAATAACTTTTGAAAAATCTTGGCTGCACAGGTTAGTTTTTCTATATGATGAGTGTGTATTCATCGCAGAATGGACTTATTCTACTCACAGCTGGATAGTTAAACTATATGGAGATGCACTTTACAAACCGGAGGGTACTCATTGACTTGTCTACTAGCATGCACGGAAGTATAGAGAATTTAACTTTGTATATTGAACCTAAATCATTGTTTTTGACACAATGTTCTTCGATGCTTGTCACAGTAGTCTTGTAAATGAATTCATGATGTCTAAATATACACAACTGTGGAAGGTGGCACATAAGTTGATGATATATGTGAGTAAGTGTAAGTCATTGTTGTTTAAGTATATAATGAATATGTTAATGTTTGTGGGTATCATTTTGGAACCCTCACGAGACTTTACTCGTCCACTTGGGGTAACTTTGTAGTTTAAAGGCTTGTTCGCATATGCTCAAATGCAACAGTTTCCACCGGCAAAGACGGAAATAGATAGATTAATTGTTTATTTTATTTTATTTACTTGCTTTGAGGAACTAGCAAGTTAGTGAAGTCGCGCGCGATGAATGATTAGAGCCAAAATGTACGTCATGAGGCCGTTAGTTAGATATCTCTTAACTTACTTGCTGGTCAAACTGTATATTTTAATGTGCTGTATAGAGTGTCAATCTAAGCGTTTGTACATCGTTGCCAAGCATAAACATGAGCAAGAAAACAGAATTGGCATAGAGTTGACTTCAACTCAAAGCACGTTGCCGTTGAGCTGTTCCGCTATCGATAGCGTTAAGACTTTTATCAATGCGGTTAAGCTTCAAAAACGACGTATTAACTTCTTGGATTGTAAAAAGACTGTGAGTTGTGAGGAGCTAAGAGGATAACAATGAAAATAAGGAAGAAAAGCTGGATATTTAAGTGGTTACCTTTAAAAATTGTTTTGGAGCCGGATTCGTAAAAGGGAGAGGGATAAGCGCGTATGAGGAGAAAGGAAAAGAAAATCACCAAAACACTTCACAAAATGTCTCATGGTGGTTCCTTCTCCTTCACGTACACTTCCCCAATATCCTCCATTGCTAGATGGGCTAGTCTCTTTTTTCTAGGGTTTGAAGAAAACCCCGACCATGTAATAGTGTTTTTCTTTTTTTATTTTATATATGTAAAGGTTTGAACCATTGTATTGTGTTTTAAGGAAAATGTCTTTATATTATAATTTTCTTATTATCTTTCAAAATATTTGACTTTCTGTGATGTTGAATATTATCCATACATGAGTTTTCTATTCTTCACTCAAGGTAATGGACGAACATGCTACGGGGATGAGTTCGTATCACTACCTAGTTTAGAGTGAAACGATTCGTATTACTGAGATGGTTCGTTACTGTACATTGAATGTGCATATCTCTTTTAAATGCTTTGAGCTTTGTAGTTGCCGAAGCATTAATCGTTCAAAACCATAGCATAATTAATTTTCAATTGAAACCCTAATTAGTGGCTTTAGTGGTGAATTCTCTTTCCGCTAGGATTTTCCCCAATTCAGTAAACCTAATAATTTCATTTATTATTGATAATTTAATTCCTTAGTTTAATTTATTTGTTATTAAATTAGGTTATGATCATTCAATCTTTTTATCAAAATTAATTTAGGAATTTGACAATTAAATTAGTTTAATTTCACAATAGTCCCTGTGGATCGATACCTGGACTTGCCATTATTCTAATAGAATTTGGTATAGTTTAATATTTAATTTTAGTGTGTTCAACCCTATTGAGCCTTCATTAAAAAAAACCATTGAAAACCTCGAAAATATTGTTGAAGATGAAACATCTTTCTAATTTGTTATTGCATTTACTATTTTTAGATCTCTGTGCACTCCATTGTCATAAAACCCTCATTTTTTTTTTTTAATGTTTTTTGATTTGGGGATTTCGGCCTTGGTTTTCTGAAATTATACATTAAATTCGAAACTTAACTTCCAAATAAAAGTGAAAAGTTCGACAAATTTGTTTTAAAAAAAAAAATTAAAAAAAACTTTCACAGTTTATGTCCGAATATAATGAAATAATTCAGCAGTCGATGTCTAAATATAATGAAATAATTCGGCACTGGTTGTCCGACTGAAAATTGCGAAAGGAAAAAAAAAAGGTCATGCACAAAAATAACTAACATTTTCATCACTAATAGAGTATAAATCTAGAGAATAAAGCAATATGAGAGTTGTTATGAGAGTATTGCTTTGCAAGCAATAGAGGGGTATAGAGTGTATAGCAAGCAAAGTGATAACAATGAAAAAATTAAGGTTTAGTTTTTTTTTAATTCAAAATGTATACATTGAGATTTTTTTTTTTTAAAAGATGTGTACAAAGAATATTTTTATATAATATTATGGGTGCTAGTGGATGTTTATTATGGTAATTTTAGTTTAAGGTATAATTGTCATTAAAATAATATTTCATTAAGTGTATGTACTAAGATACTTTAGATGTGTAAAAATAGAATTTCCTTCTTCTGAGGTCTTGTTGACCTTAAATGTGAAATACAAAAAATATTTAATTAAAGACTAAAAATTACTTATTATGGGATGCTTATTAAAATTAAAAATCCTATTGACCCATAAAAATTATCCCAGATTTTCACTCATATGTGGTGGAGATTAAAATGATATGATAGTGTAAGATCCAAATATAAAATGCATTTGAGTTAAAAATTGATATTTTTTATTAAAGTACAAGATAAAATTTTAAATTTCTAGTATTACATAAAAATACACCTTGATGGCCCTATTTGGTAGAGTTTTTTTTTTAAAAAAAAAAATTAAAAATTGATAACATGAAGGCAGAAGTTAAAAACACCCCTCTCTTACTTTCTAAACAATCAACTTTCTTCAATTTATTTAAATTATTTATATTTAATAAGATATAAATACAAACTGCATTAAATAGTCAAATATAAACTTTCAAATTAAAATAACTTATAATCAACTTATGAAAACTAGAACAAACACCCCCTCATGTGTTATGGAATAAGAGCTTCCAACCACTTTAATTCAAGGAAAAATATCAAATCAGTGGGGGTTTGAAAAAATAATTATAAATTAATAAAAAAATTATAAATATTAATAATTAAAATTTTATTTTTTTTATGAATATGTAATTTTTTTTTGAATGAACTATTAATAAGTCTTAATAGTTTGACTTAATTTTTATAAAGTCCTATTGAAAATAAGTGTTACTAAAATCATCGGTAAAAATAATTTTTGTGACGATTTTTTATATGTCGCTAAAAATTAATAATTAGTGACTTTTTTATCATGATTTTTATAAATTTTCGCTAAAGTTACAATTAGTGATTTTTTTTTTTTGACGAATTTTTCAAACTGTTACTGAAAGTTGAAAATTAGTGACATTTTTTTGTAACGATTTTTAAAAATATCGCTAAAATTTATAATTAGTGACAATTTTTAAACTGTTCTTGAAAATTAAGAATTAATGACTTTTTTTTTAATAGTATTTAATGAAAAATATCATTAATTATTATATGACTTATTGAATAATAAGTCTACCTAATAAGACTTTAGGTTGTATTTGATTAGGAGATTTGGAGATGGATTTGGAAATAAAAAAGAAAAAAAATGTGTGAAACTAGGTGAAATATATATATATATATATATATTTAGCAAAGATCTCCTGTCTCTAAAAATCCCTCTCTCTATCCCAAATCACTCAGAACTATTAGATCATTTGAGAATCCAAAGATTTGAGAATCCCCATACATGTCTAATAGTTGCGAGTAATTTGGGATATGGGAATATGAAAATTCTCTCTCTGTCCCAAATCACTCACAACTATTACACCATTTAAGAATCCAAAGATTTGAGAATTTCAAGACATATCTAATAGTTGTAAGTGATTTGGGACATGAGGACATGAATTTTTGAAAATAGAAATTTTTAGAGACAAGCGATCCTTTGACATATATTTTATTCTCATTTTACATACATTTTCTCATTTTCATTTTAAATACATTCTGAAATGGCCTAACTAAACCCAACGTACACGTAACTCCAAATTTTTTTCCCTGATTAGACTGGGTTGCAATTAGCCCTTAATTCAATGGCTCCAAACAAAGCCATATTAGCCGGAAACCACCCCATTCACTCCAAGCCATCAACCCCACCGCTCTCTCTCTCTCTCTCTCTCTCTCTCCTGCGTTTTAGGAGTCACCATATATACGACTGGTATGAGATCCACTCTCCTTCACTATAAGAACCAAATCAACCCCAAACCCTGGAAGAAAAAACTCTTTTTGTGAATAATAAACAAAAGCCGAATCTTCTCTCTTCGTTCCCATTAACCCATCTTTTCGTAACAGTCGTAGCAGGTGTGTGTATATACATATATATAATATAGATATAGAGTTGGTACAATAGTAGTAGTAAAAAAGCACCTTAATTCGGTTGTTACAAAAGAAGAAGAAGAAGAAGACATGGGTTTCCTCCACAAACTCTGGGACGAGACGCTCGCCGGACCAGCACCCGACTCCGGTCTCGGGAAGCTCCGCAAGTACAATTCATTCTCAGCCGCACGATCTAGTACTCCCGACGACGATGATGTCCCCATCTCCCGGAGCATCACCATCCTCCGTACCAATTCTAACTCCGCCGCTTTTCGCAAGCTCGACTCCGGCTCCCTTCCTTCTTCTCCGGCGGCCTCCACCACCCCTACTTCGCCTTTCTCACGTAAGATTTTGTTTTTATTTATTATATATATATATATATTCTTTTATTTATACAAAAATTAATCATATACAAATAGTTCAGATTGATTCTTATGTGTTTTTAACTTTTTCTTAGTTCAGATTGATTCTTATGTGTTTTTAACTTTTTCTTCTTATATGAAAGAATGGAGTTTGTGGATCGGACAATTTAGTTGGCTCATAAATTTTTGCTTTGGTGATCTCGTTGTTTATTTTATATATGAATAATAAACACAAAAAAAATAGTTTGTTTTTAAAAATTAATCAATCTATTTGGTTTTGGTTTTGTTTTATGTTTTTTTATGAACAAAAATAGAAATTAATTTGATGAAAATAAACCTAATTAAAATTTTTAAAAAAAAATTTTGAACTAAAAAAATTATATACAAATTATGAGTTTTTTTTTTTGATGAAAAAACAAAAAATTATAATTTGAAAATCAAACCAAGGTGATTTCGACCACCAATTTTTTTTGAAGAAAATATAAACAAAAAATATGACTATAATTATCAAATTAATTTAATTTATTCAAAAAAACAAATCTGCATAAGAATTTATAAAATGAACAGATTAAATTATTAAAATGAGATATGTGATGAAACAGAAGCCAAACTCCAATCTAAAAATGTGATTGGAGACAAGCTATGTTATACATGAAATATATGGTGAAAGTTTGATGATTGTAGAGAGGGTCTGGGTGAATTTTTTTTAAGATTCTTAATATTAAAATTTTATAAGATAAATGATATATGATATTTTTATAGTAGTTAAGGTCTCTCAATATTTCTATAAAAAGAATTTAACTCAGAGAAATTTCGTTCCGACTCAGAGAAAGTCAGGTGAAATTTCTCTAAATCGAATTTTTTTTGTGAAAATATTGAAGAATCTTAACTAATAAAAAAATATATCTTGAACCTGTCCAATTATACAAAATTGAAGAGAGATATTTCACTATTTTTTCTCTTTTTTTTATAATGTTTTTGGGGTTTTAATATTATTGTTATTTTGTGATTGTTTTGGGGGTGTATTTTGGACGCAGCGGGCACACCTCGTGGGCCTTTCAAGAGGCTAACGAGGAGAGAATCCACACCGGACTACCCATCTGAACGCGCCGATCCTAGAAATCCGACCGTTTACGACTGGTTCTCTCCCTCTCTCGAGTGTTATTTAATACCCTTGATTTTAATTTTTTATTTACAGTCAATTCTCTTGCCAAAACACTAAGGTTTCGTTTGGATAGAAAATATTTTATAGAAAATATTTTTTGTATTTTTTGATATTTTATATAATGAAAAATAAAAGTTAATGAAAAATATTTTTCATGATTAATAAAAACAAGTTTATTTGAATAGAAAATATTTTTTATTTTAAAAAAAAAAATATTTTTTAAATTAAAATTTTACCAATGTCAACCATCACAATCACTATCGTTGTCGCCGCACCACCATGCCATACCTCCACCTTTGTTTCACCACCATCACCACCAAATATTAAAAAATATTTTTTGAAAAAAAATCTGTAAAAAATGTTTTCTACCCAAATAAATGAATCGTTTATAGAGAAAATGAAGATTAAAAAATATTCACATATAGAATTGTGATTTTTTTTTTTTTCTTTTCAAGTTTTGGTTTAAATGACATGAAATTTTATTTTAACAAATTTCTGAAAACATTATTCAGGGAAGAAATATTTTTTATTAATGATATACAAATACAGTTTTTGAATGAAATCTTCATACAAATGTGACTATTTTGATCATCTTATTTCAAATAAAAATATGGACTATTACGATTTATAATTTAAAAAATACCGCCATATCATTCTCAATTACTTTTCTATACAAAAATTATTTTTTAATACTATTTTTTTTTTCCTCTTTTTCTCCATTTGTTTTTTAAAAAAAAAACGTATAAAAAAAAAAATTGGTTTCACATATTTAACCATAGTTTGAAAATATGAGATTTTCTTATGAATTTTTCTGGATGCATAAATGTGTTGCAGGATAGTGATCAATGCTTTGGACCGTTGATATAGATGGAGGAAGTAACGATTTTGAGTGAAGAATCAATGGACTGTTTTTTGTACATAAGAAAATATTACAGTATATGTATATATATGATATGATATGTGTCTAACGCGGTTGCGCATAGATAATATATATATGGAGTGTATAATAAAGGTGGTTTTGGATGAAGAAAATCGCCCATGTTCATGGAAACAAAAATGCTTCTTGGAGTTTTTATGGAAGAGGAACCAAAAAGCTGAGTTCTTTGAGCACTCCTCCTCTGGTCTGTATATATATCTTCTTGTGAGGGAGTGATTTTTTTACTTTTTTCTTTTTTCTTGGAAATTTTGTACATATTTTGTTTCTGTTTTTTTTTTTTAATTTTTTTTTTATATCTTTGTAAATATGGTATTCTGCATCTTCTTTCAATGAAACTTTTTGAAGCCAAGTATTATGACTTACAATCATAAGATGGTTAGGTTATTGAAAATTACTCATAACTAGACAACGCTCTCTGATAGTACATCTGTGAAAAAATTGTGTTTTATTTTGTGATTGGATTTGATGCACCTATAATTTTTTTTGATGCACCTGTAATTTGTCTTCTAGATTTAAAAAGGTAGTATGTTAAGGGTGAAAGTATAGTCCTGATAAAATATATATATATATATATGTCGAACGGCTTGGTATATATTGATGGGATTATTTATGTACGAATGTTTAATCTTTTGGGACAATTGTTAACTTAACATGATATCAAAATTTAGGTTGGGTAAATCTTATTTCTGTATGTACAAATGTTTGCATCTCTACATTAGTTTAAAAGGTTAGTGAAATTGATTTCAATGATCTGAATCATTCATATTTTAAAATTTATCGAATATAATATTCATGCAAAAAAATTAAGATGATTCGACATGAATAGCTATATGTTTGAATTATATTTAAAAGAAATTGAGAGAGATTGAGAGAGCAAATATTAGCTCTATATTTTTGATGTATTCAGTATGTATGTCTATATTTTACAAGAGACTGGGCTCTCTCTATTTATAGAGAGGAGAAGGTACATTAAACTATTGCTAAAGCTTTCTTTGTATGCTGGGGTGTGCTAGTGGTTGTGTGCTGGTGTGTGCTTTACAGTGTGATCCGAACATGTGATGCTAGTGGGTGTGTGCTGGTGTGTGTGTGTGCTTTACAGTGTATTCGTTGTATACTTGCTGGTGTGTGTGTGTGCTTTACAGTGTATTCTTTGTATACTTTAACAATATTTATTTTAAAAAAATGAACGACAAATATATTTTTAAAAATAGTCATTCATTTTTTATAAAACAAATTTGATTCAAACATATAGTTACCGATATCCGATTATATTGATTTTTTGCATGAATATTTTACACAATGAGTTCTAAAAAGCAAATGGTTCGGATCGTCGGAATCGGTCCCAAAATGAACGTACCAAGTCCAAACACTAGTTGATGAGATGACCAACTTAAGAGAAGTCTAATCTTAAATGTTTAGAACAATTAAAAACTTAACTAAATGGGTATCTCTTATGGAAACATTTGTATTGACAGTTGAATAATCATGACAACGCCCAACACATAGAAGCAAAATGCATGAATTTCTTTTAGGCTGTGTTTCAATTTTGGTTTTGTGTAGAAACTTGTTAACAAAATCCATAATCCACTAGTCTAACACATTGGCAATCAAACAGAATAATAGAGCAAAATTTGTGCCTGCAAGGCACATCCATGACTATTTTTATTCGACTAACATTCAAATTTAGATAAAATTTTCACTTATTTGAAATCCTTCGTTGCAAAGGAAAATTTGAAAGCGATAGTAGATGGCTTCAGCAATACATGCATCAAAATCTCAAATTGTGTTAAGAAAACAATAACAATACGAAGCAGCGTTATAACTCACTTCCTAATCATATAATTTTAGATATGTTTTTGAAAAGCAGTTATGTTTTGAATTTGATCAAAACTTATTAAGCTGAAGCAGCCTTCACTTTCTCAATCAGATCAGCAGCATCCTGAACTGTAGCAATATTCTCAGCACCACCTTCTCCGACTGACACTCCAAACTTTTCTTCCAGTGCCATCATAATTTCAACCTGAATTTCATGTATTTTTGTAAGTTAGCATTGTGCATAACTATCAATTATGAGTTTTGTAAATTAATTTTCATTTTCATTAGTAGTATCAATCTCAATAGGTGCTAAAATTCAAATGTTGAATGTTTTACTTGTAACTATGCAATGTAAGAAATTTAACTCGGTTGTTCTAGTTGATCAAGGTTATATAACTCTTACATGGGAGTAATTATCTTGTTTGTTTCAGAATACCATTTTAGCTGTGCTCACTAATAGGATAGGACTATGAAAACAAGAAATATATGGAGAAGTTACGAAATACTATTGGTTTAGCATACAGTCTCATGGTGTTTCAACAAGACTAGAAAAATCTGTCACTACCTCGGTTGTTCTAGTTGATCAAGGTTATATAACTCTTACATGGGAGTAATTATCTTGTTTGTTTCAGAATACCATTTTAGCTGTGCTCACTAATAGGATAGGACTATGAAAACAAGAAATATATGGAGAAGTTACGAAATACTATTGGTTTAGCATACAGTCTTATGGTGTTTCAACAAGACTAGATAAATCTGTCACTACCTCTCAGGGTTTCAACCCGACAACTACGTAGCATACGTAAAACTGGGAGACTATATGTTCAAAAAAAAAAAAAAACTATGCAATTTAAGACACAGTTGAGACTTGCCCAATTGGCACCGCTTTATACTTTCAATTGAGATGTCATTCAATTATTGATTATTTCTTATCGTTGTGGGCCTCTTGCTGGATTTCATATTTCCTTGTTATTATGTGTTATTTTTTGTGTTGAGATTGTAATTGTTGGGTTGTTAGACTTTAATGTAATGTAAATAATCTATTACAAATTAAAAAATAAAAATTTTAGGAAGAAAAACTCAATGTAAGATAATGATGTTGCAAATAGAGAATTGGGGTTGGGGGGGCATACAGTGTCAAGGGAGTCAGCACCCAAATCAGCAAACTTGGTTTGGGGGCTAACAGTGCATTCATCAATTGACAGTTGCTTTGCTATTGTGCTCTGCACTATTTCCAGAGTTTCTGGTTGAGCCTGCTTCACACACACAAAATATATATACATAAATATATATATTAATTATTAAACTTCTTCATAAACTTGCTAAGAGTACTGCTTATAAGTACATAGAAATGAATTTTGAGTATTACAATGGAGCATGAAATTGTGTTCTTGAAGCAACGGCGGAGTTGGAAAGATCTTTCTGCTGCCTTTGTGATTTGAATCTTTGGCAGTTGTTTCACCCCACCCTGCATCCAATCCAGCAAAAATTGATTCAAATCATCAAGATTAATACATTTTTTTTCTTCTATTTTCTTCTCATTTTGAAAAGTTGGAAGAAGGAAAATAGTTTATTTTCATTTCGAGAATTAACTAAACCTAGTAAACCAATTCACTTAGGCCCTCTATGTTTGGAGAGTTAGAGAGGGGATTGGAATTAGTAGTGAGGTGGGACCTACTAATATTGTGTTTGTTTTGAGAGTTGGGGAGAGGATTGATAGTGAACTCCAGATTAGGATGGGCCTCCCCAAGGGGAATCAGATAGGCCTCCAGGACTTGGTATTAGAAAAATAGTCCGGCGAATTAGAAATTTTTTATTTTTTTATTTTTTATTTTATTTTTTACATGTCGGGTATTTTTTTTAACATTAATATTTAATTTTTTTATATTTTTTGTTAAGTAAAAATCATTATTTTATTTGTTTTTTTTTTCTGAAATTTTTTTATTTTATTTTTATTTTTTTAAAATTTTTTACATGTTAGACATTTTTTTAAAAATATTAATGTTTAATATTTTTGTATTTTTTTATTTATTTTATTATTTTATATTTATTTTATATGAAACCTCATCGCTGCTGGCTTATTTTATTTCTGAAAACAAACAAAACCTTAGATGATCGATATAGACCTAGTAATGGACTGAACTAGATGGATCTAATTCATCTCTTCAAGCAGAAAAGTTGGGCCCACTACACAGTTAAAGTTAAAGAGAAAGAGAAAGAAATGTATATTTATATATATATATATATATTTTTTTTTTTTTTATTTAATTTCACACAATTTTTTTTTCTTTTCTTTTTTTTTCTTTTCAAATCTCCAATCAAATACAATCTTAAGATCTTAGTGGCACAAATTCGAGTCATGAAATTTTTTTAATAGAAATTACTTTATTCATTTAAAAAATGGGAAGGAATAAACAAAGGGAAAAAAAAGAAGAAAAGATTAGAGATTGCACATACCATGGAAGAGAAATTGGTAGCTTGTCTGATGCTGCATTTGAGCTTGGGAGTGGAAGGAAGGGTGGCAAAAAGAGCTGGTGAAGCTGAAGTAATGGAAGCCATGAGAGATTTCTGAAACTGAAAGTGAAGAAAGAGAAGAAAACAGATAGAGCTTTGTAGAAAGAAAAAGAAAAAAGAAAAAAAAAAGGCTTGGTTGGTAAAAACTATAAAGCTCAAATGATATTACACCACTTATTATATATAAAAAAGCTCTGCTCTCAAATAGTGGGTACATACATTGTTTGAAAAGGAAGGGGGCGATCATAACAACGAACCCTTTGCCGTTTTCTTCTATATGAATTGGGCGGTCTGTACTATGCATTGTCTGCCTCTCTCTCTCTCTCTCTCTCTCTCTCTCTCTCTCTCTCTCTCTCTCGTGCCAGCAAAGCTAATTCCAAAACTTTGCAATATTTTTTTTCAGTCTCTCTTAACCGCAGTCTAGCTGCAATAATACCTTCCTGGACAAACTACACTTGCTCCTTTTATGTTTAACCACTTTCTTATTTTTGCTTTTTAAATTTATTTTTTTCACTTTTACCCTACATATTTTAAATCATTTTTTACTTTACTTTTAAAGTTAATTTTTATTAAAAATTAGACAGAAAATAACACATTATCAATTACGTGATATAAAAATATTTTGTTGTATATAACTCACACCTCTAATATAAACTTATATTCCAATATAATAGTATATTTTTTATGTTATGTAATAGTTATTATAGTATTTGTTTGTTTAATTTTGAACATAAATTAGTTTTAGGAGTAAACTAAAAAAATTTAAAACATGAAGGATCAAATTAAAAAAAAAATAAACTTGAAAAGCCAAAGTAAGAAAATGGCCACATATAAAAGGGACAAAGTGTAATTTGCTCATATTTTCTTATTTTTGTATTAGTGATTTTGTAATGCTCTAAACAAATAGTAGAATTTATATGGAATGACGTGTAATATTTACATAAGAAAAATTATATTTACTTCTTTGTTTCGATAATTATTGTTTTGAAATAGAAGTCACATGCGTAGATTTAGAGAAATTTTATGATAAAAATCTCAAAATAAGGTATATATCTGTTGATTTTTTGACTTTCGAAGGTTATTTTTATAATTACGAGCGTGCCAGTAAGGATCAATCAGTCCTCACAGAAAATTAATTGCCAACCAATTATCAAACGATTGTGTTTTAGTTCTTTCACCCTCAATGAAGAGGACTTTTACTGGTGGCTTGATTTAGGAGAATTAAACGAAATAACAATTAAATAAAGAACAATTTGAAGCATTTCATTAAAATGAAAAACTTACAATGATCCAAACTCAGTCTCGTAGAGGTTTACAGTAACAATCTACTACTTGAAACTACTCCTATGAACGAAGTACAGTGCAAGAATTGAAGTACAGGAATGTAAAGAACAGGAAATGTAAGACTAGAAATGTAAAACTGAAAAGGAAAATAAGTAGAATAAGACTGGTTTTTGGATCTGAGTCTGGAGAGTTTTTCTGGGGCCTTCTCTGCTATTTATACTGCTCAATGATGACCATCGAACTGCATTTCTAACCGTCGAACTGCTCCTCCATGATCGCTGATCAAGTTGCCTCAAGATTAGCTCCATTACGCCATTACTTGCAGTTAGGCTTCCCTCCTGAATTTGAATTTGAAATGTGAGTAACCGTTGAAGCCACATCACCTTGCATCTCTTTGTTGATCCACTACTACTCAGATCTCGTAATAACCAATACTAACCGCCACGTGTACGATCAGGATCGAAGATTTGAATAGTCTTCCTATATTATCTTTATTTTGCCACGCGTCGAATTGTAATTGGCTTGTACAAAATATGTAGCCAACATTATCCTCCGCACTAATATACCCCAGACTTGGTGATATTAGTGGATCAAGGCCTTTTTCCCACGTTTTAGAACGTGCATGGGTTTTGCATTCTCCCAAAAATACAACTGTCATTCATCATCTGCATTAAACTCTCCTTCAATCTTTTGAACACCCCCACCACCTTAGTATTCGAACAGACTGATACATTTTTTATGGCCAAATCAATTTTTCCCTCCATTGATCGAGCACACGAAGAGTCATATGATGATGCAGTTCTTCCTCGAAAGAACCTCCATGCATTAATTAGCCACCTTTACCCAACTTTCTATATTCAGGTCATGGATGCCTTTGCAAATTATCAACCCTTGGACTTCGAACATATTGCCCTTAATCCTTCGATTTAGAAACTTACAAATATAGACATAGGAAGTTCTTCTTCTGACTCACCCTTGGACTACGAACAAACTGCTCTCAATCCTTTGATTCAGAAAGTCGCAAATATGGACATAGGAAGTTCTTCTTCACAACCCTCTGCATAGGATAAGGCTGCAACTTCTTTCTCTTCTGGGGCTTCTAGCTGGACAAGCTGGCCAAAACCTGAGGCCTATAATTTGAGGGAATGAATCAACCATCACTTTGTCGAGTTTACTGACCCTTTAGAGTTCCCTTCTTATGCGCGAAGCTCGGTGGTCTATCCCTACGTGCCCATTGACCATCGACGCAATTTGGAGGAGAATCTACTTGTGGCATGGTATACATCCTCTATGCCTACAAAGATAGTGCACGTCGTCCGACGCCTAGAAGAGGCACAAGGGTACAATTCATCATTCTTAGCCCAGAAGGCGAAGATTTGTTCTTCTGACTGGCTCGATTATATTAATGCCCTTGTTCCTTCTGCCCTTGCTCCATCTCCTGAAATATAAGCATCCACACCTTCTCCTCCGCCAAATCCTTGCTGGATAGAGAGACTGAGGCTTGCCCTCTCCGTAGATAAGGTTTTTCCACCTTACAAGCCTCCACCTTCCCCTAATCCAACTGAGCGGAAGCAAGCTCAATTTCTATTCGCGGCTTTCTCTCACTTGCCCTTCAATGTTCTTGAGGACGAAGTCCCTCTCAAGAACCTTCGATGGGCTTGTGATATTCTGACTCGGGGTCATGTCCTCAATCCCCTCGCCTAAGCTAAGCTTCACATGTTTTTGGACCAACTTCCATTGCTTCTCCACTAGCATCAGACCTCTATAGCCACCACACAATCTTTAGACCAACTCTCGTCCCTTCGAGTTCATGCCCAGTACGAAGCAGAGAACTTCATTGAAGAATCTGATGATTTCAAGAATAAAGATTCTGCATACTGGGATGACATGGATATAGACGAATTGGAACAAGGATTGAGAGAAACAGCATTCGAAATAAAGGCCGAAGAGCTCTTTTACGAAGTGAGAGCACATTAACTTATGCAACTAATCCTAGAAGAAATAGAGGATAGAATAAAGAAAGAGCAGAAATTCATTGATCTTAGTTGGACCAAATTTCATGATCTTGTTATTTATTCTATTCCCTATTTTCATTGATCATATTGTTATTTATTATATTCCCTATTTATTCTATTACATTGAAGGGCCATTCAATGTAATTGCTTTTGCTTTAATACAACTAAGACTTCTTTTTGTTCGGCATTGATTCATCTTATCTCCATTTGTCTTTAAAAGCAAATTTAGGGCTTCGAATTGGACAATCTTATCCTTTAAATTTGAACTTAATCGTTTTAAACGAAACACTTACAAAAACCAACATGAACTTTTCCAATTTATGGAATAAAGTTGACAATTTTTGTTGATTTTATTTGGAATCAGTGCTTCGAATTTTAACAATCTTACCCCTTAACGCTTGTTTTCATCATAACCAATATGTGGCCATGGTTAGTATGATCAATCAACTTTAAATTGTCCTTCTTTCCTTCGAACAACAGTCCATACTTTCAAAAATATAGAAGCTCCTTTTGAGGGCTGCACTGTTTTAGTTCGAAAAGACAATCTTTTTTTGTATATATATATATAAACCAACTAATAGTTTTGATGTTTCGAATACCAATTCCCATTCTTAAGAAGTCTCAAGTTTTGCTTTGAAGGACATCACTCTCATTTAAGAAACCTAAAACAGGTCCTTAATCTCTTTGAAATAAACAAATACTTGAGCATTCTTACATCCTTAGATATGGAACGTGTTTCGAAGTTAGCTTCTATATTTCGAAACCGTTGTTTTTTGACTTTTGGCGCCAAAATCTGGTTTCGAAGTCAATATTTTACTTCGAGGCTGGCATTAATGTGTCTCTTTCTTCCAAACATTCCAATATTGAAGGGAATTCTTCGTATTTGTTCTTTGAGTATTTAACGAATTACGCGAATAAATACTTGAGCGTTCTTTCATTCTTAGGTATGGAATGTGTTTCGAAGCTGGCTTCTTAGTTTCGAAGCCGTTTATTATTTGACTTTTGGCACCAAAATCTGGTTTCGAAGCCAAATACTATACTTCGAAGCTGGCCTCAACATCGGGGTGTGTTTTTCCCTCCAAAAGTATCAATATTGAAGGAAGCTCTTCGTATTTGTACTTGTAGTACTTAACGAATTACGCAATATATCTTATAGACATAAAGGCTTTAAAAACCCTTTTTATTTCGTGCTCTGAAATCACTCGCTCGCTCAAAACACAAACCCTTCTCCTCTGTTAACCCTCTCTTCCTTGCCTCTTCCTTGCCTACCAACGGCTTCTTCTTCTCTGAAAGTGCTTGCTGGTGATCGTATAAGCCCAACCATGGCTTTGAAAAGATGTATTGATGAAGAGATCGCCAAGTTAACAGCTGATGGGTCAAGTGCCATAAACGGACGCCTCTTTGTTCCTCGCCACAGCAACAAACAAGAATATGTTTTGGGTTCCATCTTCCGAGAAGCTCCTACCCAACTTCCAGCTTTATACCCTCGCTTGGAGGACCACTTTCTTCTCTACGAAGGAGGGCTCGTCTGGGGAAATTGGAGGGTGGACCGACCTCATCGCTGCTGGCCAACATTGAGAGCTGAATGGGAAGAATGGTATGACAGAGTTGTACCTGCGTGAGAAAATGACCTGCAGGAGCTCTGTATTCTCGACGCCCTTCGTCTTTCCGGGTTCATCATTCCTAAAGACCCTTTTTTGATTCCTGCTTGCTGCTCTTTGCTTTTGAAATATGGCTTTTAATTTTTTTTAGTTTCGGTGTGGCATGATGGCCCCCACCGTTCTTGATATTTGCCATCTTTTAGGGCTTTCACCCCTTGGCACTCATTTCTCTCCCGGTTACCCAGATCACTCTGTTAAGTTTTCTCTTCTGCCCCTAAATTCTTCCTATAGTGACTTTGTAAAGGCTGAAAACAAAAGGATAGGCCCTGTGAGAGATAGAGAACTTTTTTCCTTCATTTTATACCGGTTGTGTAAATTTGTCTTTTGTACATCATCTCAACAGATTATGCCTGAATTCGCCCTACTTGCGAAGGCCCTTATTTTGAA